ACTTCTACAGTGGTTGCCATATACAATGATTTACTAACTTAATTGATGACCTATTCATTATGTAAGGCTGTAAGGAAGATGTTCCATATATACATCCATCCAAACACCCATCCACCCATAATAATAATAACAATAAGTCATCTAGTATAGCGCACAGTCTCCAAACACCAGGTGATTGTTCGTGGTGCTTACTTAGAATCTGATCATCATTACCCCGGATAGCCCAAGCTGCCTGTCAGGCGCTAGAAGGTTATAGTCACGTGACTTTATCCAACCGGGTACCCATTTTCTCCTGGATGAACAGAGGCAATTTTGAACAAACTCACCTGGCTAAGGTGAGACCACATGTATCACATGTGCTTCGTTGTGGGGCAGGACTGAAGTCCTAGACACGCTCAGGAGTCAAGCTGCCAAACACGGTTATCCATCCAAGGACTGGTGAGCTCGACGTTGCTTGACTTCAACTGATTCGTGACCCATCCATCCATCCACCCATCCATCCATCCATACACACCTTTATCCCTCCCTCCCTCCCTACACCCATCTCTCATCCACCCATCCTTCCCTGTCTCCCTCCCTCTTCTTCCATCCATCAATCCATTCTTCCCTCCATACTTCCATCCATCCATCCACCCATCCTTCCCTCCATCCATCCATCCACACCTTCATCCATCCATCCATCCATACATACATACATCCACCCATCCCTCCCTCTCTCCCTCCATCCACACCTTCATCCATCCATCCATACATACATCCACCCATCCCTCCCTCCCTCCATCCATCCACACCTTCATCCATCCATCCATACATACATCCACCCATCCTTCCCTCCCTCCCTCCATCCATCCACACCTTCATCCATCCATCCATCCACCCATTAATCCATCCACCCATCCTTTCCTCTCTCCCTCCCTCCATCCATCCATCCGCATCATCATCCATCCGTCCATCCACCCATCGGAAACATCAGATTACATGGTTGCCACAAGAAATGGGAGCCCCTTGCTAGAGCCCTCAGGTCAAGATCCTGGAACCAAGTGAAGCATTAGTAAAATCTGATAACCATGTGTAAGTCCTTCACAGCGAGGTTGTATCGTGTCTTTATTGTTATTTCGTTAGTCTATTGTTTAACACAGCGCACAGCAATGTTCGAGCTTATTGGCGGTGCTAGTGAGCATCGATCTACAAACCTGGGATACGATGCTACGCGTCGACCAGCTCGGCGTGTCTGATCACATTTCCGGTAAGCATGAGTTGCCCAAGTAAAGGGAGGAATCTGATTGGTCAAGAGAAAATGACATACAAGGGACACAACTCCTGATAGCCATTGGCGGATCGTGCTACAAACTTCGAGCCTACTTTGCCAGGGGTGGGAACTGGACATTTATCGTGAGTTAACTCCCTTGCCCAAGACGTAAGTGAGAGCTCTGTGTTTCAGGGCGAAGTAACCATTAGGAGCTCTTGAGATAGAAAGGACGTGGGAAAGAACAGTCGAAGTGGAGTGAGGCTGGTGCGATGGTGTCAAACGGGCAATGGAATACATGTTGTTGTTTTTTGTGGTTGTTGTTGTTTTTGACATTTGCCTTTTTCAGACTGTCTAATAAGATTATTTATAGCTTGTATCTCGCTGATAGTCGGCAATTTTGAAACCTATGTAATAGGCACCGGTATATTAATTTTTGCATGGATCAGACTGTGTAATATGAATTAGAATAAATGTTGCCTGTCAAACTAGAAGATACTGGTGTATATCCAGTGTTTAAAACTCCCCAAATTCCAAGCCAGACAGCCGGACTGGTGGCTTTAAAAAAACCCAGTCCGGATACAAACTTGCCTGTCCGGTTTTCAACATTGAAAAAAAAATCGGGTTTCTGAATACTTTACTGTTTGTAGGCATCGCAATAAACAACATAGCACTAACAGGCAATGCACCGAGTTTAGGTAAATTGAAAGTACATGTGTTGTGATTGGTTATTGTAAATGAACTGTGCAATCGTAAATAGTTTAACATAATTATCATAATATCTTAAACACCTCAAACTGACGACAAGCGAACCTGTCTGATATTATGAAAGATTTATTGTTAGGGGTAAAAACATCTACCAGACCACCGGACAGGCTACTTTTGAAATGTGACCATCCGAGATGAAAACAGACCGTTCCGGTCGGGCAGGCGGGAAGTCTAAACACTGGTATATCGACAGCGACGGATGACTACATATTATCCTCAGTATGATTCTAAATTCATAACCCGGAGTCTCGTCCATTCGTTAATCGACTGTCCGACTGTCCATCAGGCAGAAGCACCGGACCCCCGAACTAGTTTATCAGCCCATCACTAACGTTGAGAGGGATAGCTCCTTTCCATGCAATCTGAAGAAGAACTGCTGATACCACTTTCTTTCCCATTTCTTGTAACAGTGATGGTTATATATGTCACGTGATCTCTGGACTAGTACTACTTTAAATCATAGACATTTTTTAAGAACAGTAGGGGATATAAATACAATATATATGTCTATACCAAGTATGGCAGACCTTGTGATAATAACAAGGCCATTATGAAAAGACAAAAGCACCCCACCCACCCTCCTAACGACCAAACCACCATGATTGTTTGAGTGAGTGAGTTGGGTTTTACGCCGCTTTGAGCGATATTCCTGTAATATCACGTTGGGACCTTAACCACTACTATCATAGCCTGTAATATATAATAGAATGGAGGGAGTGATATATCAGAGTAAATATGATTATACTTAGAGCAGAGAAGAGATCATGGTATCCCCCTGTGAATAGAAGGTATATGCAATGATGGTCGGTGTTCAGGGACAGGGGAGGTAACTCTGTTCCATCTGGTAGCGGTCACAAACACAGGCAAAGTCATGGTAATTGTTGATGTGCTAAGGGAACATATGGTCCAATGTACAAAGAGCATCAGGAATCGATTAAGCCACATTTAACACACTGCGCCTGCCCTTGACATGTCCGACATTCAGCTATTGAAATATATTATTTCCATAACACAAACAGGTAGCAAATCAGAGGTGTTCCACAAGTACAGATTGGATTAGACGGAGCTGGTACAGAATGTAGCAGGAGGCAGACCAAACTAATGTACCCTTGAATAACTGACTGTACAGCTTCTTGTGATGTCATTTGTCTGCATCTAAATAGGCCCCCATGGTAAATGAGCATGACTACAAACAGGACTGAGTTACACCATGTGTTTACTTTCCTTTATTAGTCAGCGTTGACCTGCTGTCAATGAATTAATTAAAGAAACTGAATCGTGAAAATATATCTTATAACAGCAAGAGTTTCAACCTAAACGTGATTTCATAAATCATATGAAAACTATTAATTGAGTCAGTTACATGTCTTATTTAATAGTTTCAACTGACATGTAAGTCCGTTTATTTATGACCACATGCCGAATCGTCCACACAATTCATACAACATAACATTTGCAGTAAGCGCTTGGCCCCTTTCACATCTATGTTAGTGAACCACTTGATTGTTCATCCACGCATCTGTGCACCGCAAAGCAAAAACAAATGATTGTAAATTCATTCCTCTAAAATTTCAACACAGATAAAACTTAACGTCATATCAGCAATTGTTCAGCCTTAGATTGACGAGATCGTGTTTACACGTGTATACACGTGTACCCTCCTGATTGCGAAGCTATATTTAAAAGCTACATTTGAACTAAAAGAGTTAGAACTGCTTAAAACTGTTTACAAGCTACCAGTAACTCAAGTGAGAGCACCCTGCCGGGGACCAACGGTACATCATGACCGTCATCAGGTGCTCTCTAACTCGATTTTGTACATGACATGCAGCGGGGGACACGTACTTTATACATAGTATTTAAGGTGGGGTGTGTGTGTGGGGATGTTAGGCGTTCACATGCTTCTCCATAAAACTCATCCCAATCAATATGAAACTCTGTAATCACGGGTCCGACACACATCGTATGTACATGAAGTTTACAAATTAATGCGAGCAGAAAATATTCAGGTAAGATTTTTTTACAATTGCATAAACTCACATATAATTCTTCTTGCTCATCTGTATCCATGATTTGAGTGGGTTGGTGGGTTGTTAATTTTGACATTTATATGAGTATTGGTTATGGGTGGATAGTGGATCAGGCCCAGTTTAGAGCAACTTGTGGTTATAACTTACATTCTATTTCATTGTTAGGTCCAATGTTGAACGATGTATCAATTTTCAGAGTGCCTATATTCGTGTTCTTCAAGTATTCAGTAAACGTGCTCTGTGTGTGAGTGTGTGTGTGTGCATGCGCGCGCGTGCGTGTGTGTGTGCATGTGTTAAAGTCAAAGAACACAACCTAAGAAATGTTTGTGTGAATAACGTTCAAGTGAAGTGTCCTTAATAACGTGCATATTTTTGTTACACTGGCAAGTATATCGTTGGCAACTGTGCGTCACTACCCGTCCGTAGTGGTAAAGCTTGCAGTTCACTCAAGCCTTTCCAAGTATGTGAACATTTATGTATTGTTCGCCCGGCGAGCTAGAGTCAGGATATCCTCTCCTATGTCTGAGACAAAATAGAGACCTGCCTTATGATCCACCAGCAGCTTGGAGACGTCTTCATGTCCACACACAGCCGCCATCATCACAGGTGTCCAGTTATACCGACCTTGGACTGGTACCAGACTGGTACCAGATACTCCACACAGTGTGTGCTACCTGCACGACAGGCCAGGTGGAGTAATGTGTCTCCAGCTTGGTCTTTCTGGACAAGGTCGGTATTCCCCCGATTGTACGTTTTCAGGAACGTTAGTTCCCCTCTTACCACAGACTTCATCAGTCCATTCAATGGTGTGACTTTCTTATCATGTTTTCTGTCGAGCTGTTTTATGGTTTGTCTTCTCCCAACTTTAAGAGCGAGAGTTAGGGCCCGTCCCCCGTGTTGTCAACTAAAGACAAATCTGTGCCTTTAACTTTCAGGTATTTGAGTACTGCAAGTTTTCAACACAGAACTGCCGTCATGGCAGGTGTCAAGCTCATATTGTCCTGGGTGTTGACATCAAAGCCATCAACTATGTGTTTCAAGACAGCTAGCTGCCCATGGCGACTGGCAAGATGTAGAAGAGTGTGTCCTTCTTTGTCCACCAGCCCACGGTCAGCCCTACGTGACACCAGGTATTTGTAGACAGCAATGTGGCCGCCACAGACTGCCCTCATTAAAGGTGTATGACCATCCTTTCCTCTGCAGTTGATGTCAAAGCTGTCAACCACTTCCTTTACAATGGCTAGATTTCCCCCTTGACAAGCAGCATGTAGAACATTATCACCCTTAGAGGTAAGCAATGGCTTATCGGCCCCTCTTGTTGCAAGCAGATCATACGCCTCCTTCTTCCCCCCTTCTGAGCTGCCATCATTAATGGTGTAAATCCATCTTCTCCAGGAACGGTTATGTCAAACAGCGGCAGGAGAAACTCAACAACTGATGCATTTCCACCCCGGCATGCAAGATGGAGAATGTTGTTGCTGTAGTGATCAGTCAGTTTGAGGTCAACATTCTTTGACACCAGAAGGTGGAAAACTTCATTCGTCCCAGTCAATGCTGCAACCATTACTGGAGTTCGGCCATACTTTTCCCAAATGTTAACATCACGTGTTGACGGAAGTGATTGTACAATGGGAATATTTCCTCCTTCACACGCCAGGTGAAGTATTGTGTCACCGTAGACATTGTACACAGTCATGGAACCCTACTTTGAATAAAGTAGATCAAGAGCATTTTTCTTTCCAGACCAGTCTGCATTCATTACCGCTGTCCACGGCAATTTATGTCAAACCATTTTCCTATCAAATAGTCCACAAAGGCTGGACAGGTGAAGTATTGTATCATTGCTGTCATCAAGTGTTTTGATATCAGCGTTCTTTGACACAAGAAGTTTGAAAACATCAGAATTGCCTGCCCATCCAGCCTTCATAACATTGGTTCTCCCAAGGCTTCCCTGACTATCCAAATTGGCCTTTGGCAGTGGATCCTTCACTGTGGCTCTATTTCCTCACATTTACGAGTTGTTGTAGTCATCCCTTAGAGAGAGATCAGCCCCTTTGGACGCAAGCAAGTGGAACAAAATCTTGTGTCCATTGACAGCTGCATACATCACTGGCGTCCACCCGTTGCCTCCACGACTGTTGATGTCAAATTGTCGGATTACGTGAGTCACAATGGAGACATTTCTGCCGTGGCGAGCAAGGTTGAGGAGATTAATTGTCATCAGTCAGTCTAAGATCTGCATTCTCCTTCCCAAACAGGTCATATACATACTTTCCTCCATTCACAGCTGTCTTCATCACCGGCGTCCAGCCGCGTCGACCTGGTCTGTTGACGTCAAACTGTGAAAGTAGATTCTCTAAAATTGACATATCATCTGGCTGACATGTCAAATGAATGAGACTGGTGTTGTCATCATCACTCAGTTTGATGTCAGCATTCTGTGACACAAGAAGATCCCCTTTCCAGATGATGCTTCAAACATTATGGTTTTCTGACCATGTTTACCAGGGGAATTTACATCCGTCATTGAAGCCATTAGGGAGAGTTTCCATTAGGGAGAGTTTTCCCCACTCACAGGATCAGAGTAGCTGGCTGGTCATCCGACTGATAACATATAAAGCAGAGTGGACACGGAATGCTTCAAGAACGTTTCATGGCTTTCTTGAAAGGCAGCATAACTGTATAAAAGTGTGCAGACAAGAGGGAATCCAATAGCTTCCTTATCACTTGCAATCAGTCCGATCTTTTTTTCCTCCTTCAACTAATGTTGGTAACTCTTATATTTTCTTTCAGGCGGCCTGAGGTGCAGGTGGAGCTCATACAGAAGATGTGTAACAAGAGGAACATCCAAATGGGGCCCGGTCATCTGAAATATGTCATCAGATATCAAACATACGTGTCTGCTATCTCCCTGACAATCTGATCACCGTACTTTATCAAGATCCTCAACCAGTATCAGTTCATACCCGTGCTTCCTGTATTCAGATCCGAGCTTCAGGGACTCCACTGATTGTCAGTTGATGGAACGTCTCCAACATCTTTCACACTTTCTAATCAATTGCAGTCTCAACAGACCTGGCCCGTGCAACCTTTTGCTCTAGTGGAGCTGTACGGGTAAAACATAAATTTTGTCAAAGACACTTGAAAAGTAAGACATTACATAGGCGACATGAACATTTTATAATCTGTATATTTTCTGGAACTAATAACGTCATTTCAGGACTTGTCACATGTACTTGTTACATTCATATAGCTTTACCCAATTCGGTTTCGATAAATGTATCTCGTTCATCATTCATCATTCATCCTAATGTGAGAGATCTGTTCTCTGTATAAACCTGATTCTCTTTTGATCCACTCCACGACAAAAACTATGACCTACGAGTTCACATATTCTGCACAGTGCCAATAAACATCTGAGGTCGTTCGTATTATATGGAGAGTAATGTCAGGGAAAATTCATAAAACATAATCACAAGTAAGAAAAATGATCTAAAAATAGTTTTAACTAATTTTGTGATATATTTTGGGGTATTATCCTGTCTTATACTGACAGTTTTCAAACATTGAAAAGTGAATTCATTAAAGAAACAATATGCCTAAAATTTGCCGACGTGCCAACACAATCACTATATACAAGAACCTGTATCGAAACGTCGTGCTCTAGAATAAAGAAGTTGTCGTCCATTTATACTTGTTCTATCTGACTTCAAACTTCTAAAAAATGCCACTCAAAGATACTAATTAATCAATCAGCTCTAAAGGAAACCCAAATCTCGACATGATACTAATAATTTGGAAAACAGGAATTATGTATGCAACTGTCCTTCACTGAAGCAATACTGAAGCTAAATCAATGTACTTACTGTGTTCTGGCCAACTGTAAATACATAAAAGTTAACAATGAAAATGGATAGATGGTTCATATTGAGTATAATTTAAGTACAGTAAATTATCATGGTGCAGTTGTTTCTGATGCTGCCTAGAAGAAGATTTTATAGTCTAGGATGCATGCAAACTCAAGACAGTTTATGATCATACCAAAGCAATACGTGCAGTTCACTATAAAACATTATTTGGCGTTATGTTTGATGGTATTGCATAGTCGTAGAATCTCTAGTATTACCTGCCGTCAAAGTTGGTATTATTTCTCTGTCTTCGTTTCCGCCTGCAAAGAATCACAATGCAACATATGTCATATATTTACACTTAATCAATAAAGTACACATTCCCACAACGTTCCCAGAGTCGGGAACCTAATCGTCAGCACGCAAAGACAGCAATTTTCCATTCGACCACTTTCTACAAGGCATTGTGTACTTAAAGAATCACAATTTTTTTAAACTTGTCAAATTCAATTTTTAACGATAACATGCATCCGGAATGCTTAAATATGAATTTTATTCCTCGTCTTGTTAAAGAATATTTTTAAAGTATCAAACAAGAACGTCCAAATATCCCTTTCGTCGACAGATCGCCTTTTCGTTTAAAACCAAATAACAGGAACGTAATTTCCACCTTGACGTTTTGGGTGCAATGCAGACCGTGAAAAGTCATACCAGTATAAATCAGGACATGGAGTTGTGTCAGCTGTACACTTACACCATGTAGATCACCACAACCACTATAACCAGGAACAGTATGATGACGATAGGGACGATGATCACAACAACATCAGTTGCTGATTCTAGTGGGGACGCTTCAGTTTCTGAAGGCAAGCAGAAATACGTCTTATAATACACGGTGTCCTGATGTTTCTGTTCCGGGTTTTTCTGCAATGGTTTTGAATCAGAATACGACAGAAAACTAGGTGCTCCAGAACACCAGTCGTGACAACCGTTCACACTACAGCAACTAGCACATCACTGCCCTCCAGTGAGTCTTGGCAGATACAAATGGCACTCAATTCAATTACAACACTGTTTCACAATGAATAACACTGGCACATAACACCATGCTTATTTCATTTATATCAGTTGAATGCGAGTCAGGGTGTTGTGAATATTCAAGAACACACTCTTTCGCATATTTCAATTAGTGCTTGAGTGCGGGAATATATGCTTGCAGGAACCATTCCAGCAACATGATGGTAGGAGACACAAGAAAACAAGACATTGTCTTCGGCAAGATGAATTATTATATACAAGCCAAACTTTTATAATGATTCGTTCTGGAGATGTGTCCACAATGATTTGACATGGTGACATTGAATATAAACAATTCTCAAAAGGAACACAGTTACCACAGGAACAGAGTTACCATCAGCAATATGTGCTTTAAACAATTCGGGGGTTTTCTTGGAATAATACATATGTATATGCATCTATGTTGAATAACAGCTCTATGTCATTTGATATGATATGTCAGAGTATTTCATCAGCAATGGGCAGAATATATGGTGATTTTCACAGATGAGTGTGGCCTGTTTTGAGGTCCTTTAACGTGCAGTTTTGGCTCAGATTAGACTTGATCGCTTGTCATGAGTCCGTTGTGGATTTTCATTTACTGGTGATATTCTTTAACATTTTCTAGTAGTACAAAAATGTTTGGTGTTATGCAATTTGCCATGTTTTAATGCAAAAGTATAGTAACGTGATTTTGGGTGTTTTCCTAAATCACTGTCTAACTGTTGGCAGCATATTTCTGTGATCTGACACTAGACATCGTGACACGCCCGTGAAGGGATGTTTTATCAAAAGTCAGTTCACAAACTGCTGAATCTTTAAGTTACGTCTCTGTCTTTGAATGAACAGGTGCACATGAGGCCCAATGAAGTCACCCCTGTATCGCAGACCTGTCAGGTTGCCACTGACATGAACAGTCGTGTCCAACCATGAGATGCGATGACTCCCCATATCATAAACCTTCCGCTACAAAACTTGATGTATTGCAGGTCGGGTGGGGTGGATGTTGTGACAGTCACGATTCCAGCCAAATGTGATTGCCGTGCTGACGTGACGTAAGGCGTGGACGGCCGGTCCGAGGCAAATCTCTTGTATTCCCATTTTGTTAAAAACGACTCCATGGAAATGAGATCGTGTTTTGATGGACACCAAATATCTCACCACTCCATTTTGGACCATTCCAGCCTCGACGCTGATATTATGAAAACCCTGGCATGGCGTACGCGCAGTTGAGTTTGAAATGAACGTGTTTTCCACAACAGGAAGGCTAGATAATAATCAACCATCATGATTTTCAATATCAAGTGTGTGAACATCAGATGTCAACAAGAAGACAAAGTCATCACTACCCCCCTCTCCCCAACTCTATTATTATGTCAAATGCATAATCACCAAATTTAGTCGAAGCCAAACACACAAAAAACATTTATTCAGAAATCCAAAATTACCAAAGGCACCACTACACCACCAGACCCATCTATGTGAACGGGTTTGAAGTTCTGCTCTGGAAAAGAGCACAACCACCATATACAGTCGAAGTCGAACGTGTTGCCATGGAAATACAAAAAAACATTATTTTATTCAGAATTCAAAAATACCGATAGGCACCAGTACATCACCAGACCTACCTATGTGCCAAGTTTGGTGAAAAAATAGTGAACAGTTTTGAAGTTCTGCTCCGGAAAAGACACACGCACGGACCGACAGATCGCATATTAATACTCCCCATATTAAGTGTGCAAGCTTATCGTGCACAAAAATGCAAGAGCCACGCGCGGAAGGTTACATCAAATTTCATGCAAAGTGCTTTGGTACATGTTTAATTAGGGTTATCTTCATAACTTTTCAAACATCATCGTATCTCATGAGGTCAATCACTGGATTCAGATGTAATATTGCTGAATGAGGCGTTATTTCCCAAACTTTTTTCCTTTACTTATGTGACAGAGTTAAAATTACTTCAGTTTTGTTTAAACATTTCCAAATTTTTATATTATCTTAATCGTCATTGTTTGCTTTAAACTGTATCATTTTCCACTTTTGCATACAAATAGAAAATCGACGGTCTTAAAAGTTCCCCATTATTGTTTGGCACATTTGTCGGCAAAAGCCAGGTTCCTATAAAACGAGACACGTTCAGGAAGAATCTCTGCTTCAACTGAATGTGCTGTTCTCGTTTTGAAGGTAAGCCTACCTTACGTTTATATATTTTAACTTTAACTTTAACTGTGACTTTGAAACTTTAGGTTAACATATTTGGACTTTGCCACTTTTCTAGTCCCTAGGCTAGGTTAAAAATAGGTCTTCTATAGGTGTTGTTAAACTTCTATTTCGAAAATGTAGTATTGGCGTCGTGGTAGTTTCTTGGACTCTCTTGCTATTTCATCGTATTGTAACGTGTGGTTTTCTTATGCATGGGTACACCTAGATAGGTAAATGGATAATATTTGATATGTTTATTTAAA